CCCCTCTCCCTCCTCACTCACCGCTTTCATGGCCGAAGCCATGTCGTCGTATCTCTCCGCCTGCTCGGCCAGGCGGGCCCGCTGAAGGAGCTGCTCGCCGTCGCTCATGGCCGCTGCGCCGGTCGCTCCCTCGCTCGGTGGGTCGGACACGGGGACAGCCGAGGCGCTGCAGGAGGCGGAGGCGAACCGGGGCGGGGGGGGTGACCGGTAGTAACGTCGTTACCGTCCCTTCCTCCTTCTCCTGAAGCGGCTAAATCTTCTTTTTTTACCTCAGGCAGGCGGGCGGGCGGTCAGGAGAACGGAGGAGCCGCGCACGCGCAGACGCGCCCTCGGGCTTCTGCCCCTCGCGTCCAAGCGCGCGCCCTCAACGGACTGAGGCCCCTCCCTCTCCCTCCGCGCGCGCAGGCGTCACTCTCTCCAAAGCCCCTCCTCCTCCTCCTCTGGGGAAAAAGAGGACAAAAGACGAAGGGCGCGTGCGCAGTAGGACCCCGCCACCCCACCCCTTTCCACTCTAGGGCTGTACTCTTTACTCGTGGCGAGCTTTTCTCCTCAGGCGCCGCGCGTGCGCCCTGCGAAGAGGGCGAGGGCTCCTTCGTAGTAAACGGCGGCAGAGAAGGGCGGAGCCAAGGGAAAGGCTGCGGGTGGGAGGGGCGGGGCGAGAGGCCGGGGCGCTGTATTTCTAGCTGACGTCATCTGCTATAAATAGCTCGCTCCCAGCGGCGGACCGCGGTTGGGCGGGCGAGACGCATGCGCAGTGTCCGTGCTGCATTGCTCAGGTGCGCTGCAGAGGGTGGGTGGGTGGACGGGTGGAGGGTGATACTACCGCCCCCGGGCCACTATCCAAGGAGAACCCCGCCTCGCTGGCATCTGGCGATGACCTACCATGAACTCCCTTTCCTCCCACCCCCCCCTTTGGAGGCGCGACCTGCCTCACAACAACCCTGCAAGGTTGGACCCCCCCCCCAGGGGCACGGAAGCTTCCCCGAAGGTGAGGCATTTCTGACCCACGAGATCTCCTTGCCCGCCCACCAACCCACCTACTCCCCTAACGGCAAGGCTCCTTTTGGAAATACATGTCCCAGAATCCACACACACACACACCCCCGGGGATTCTGGGAGGTGCAGTCCGAAGAAGAGGAAAGTTTCCAGGTGCTGGGATGCGCAGGTGCCTCCCCCACGAGAGGCTCCTCGTGTGCCCCGGTCGTGGACGGGCATGTATGCATGCGTGGGTGGGTGCAGGTGCCCCACGGCCCACAGCTGCTGATGGCCCCCCCACTCCTGCCAGCCCCCCAGCTGGACGTGCCCTCCGGGCTGCTGATGCCCAGGAGACGGCTTCCGGATTTGGGACCCTCGTAAATCATGGGCTGCCAAGACCATTTGTACTTAGGGTGACCTTTTTTGGTGTTTTTTCCCCCAGGTTGGAAATACACTCAGATCTTCTTCCTTGCCTGCCCTCTGGTGTGAGCAGGACCGTCTGGAACAAAACTTGCATCAGGCTGGCATCTGTACAAAAAGGCCTGGCCTCTTGAAACATCCCAGCCAGGTTCCCCCACCCCCACCCCTCCTGCCTGGCTCGGCACCCCAAGCAGACCTTTGGTGCCCCCCCCCGGGAAGTACCAGAAGCCATCACCCCCTTGGCCATCCTCAGTCTCCCGGAAGGTTTGGGCGCCTGCAGGTGCCCTCCTCGCCCTCCTCCAGGGCTCTGCTTTGTACCAGGGGCAGGAAAGCATGGCCTCTTCGGCTTCTCCCATTTTGATCAAGCGAAGGAACGCACCTTGCTTAAAACGCAGCTTCAGAAAGGAACTATATATCCCATAAAAAGGCATGCCTGCATCGTGTCGCCCTCCAGGACCTTGGGAATTCATCCCCAAAGTTGCCAAGCTCATTTTTCTCCTCCTCCGCAGATGTTGTGCCACTTTGGACCCGTTCTAGGTGAAGAGCTGAAAGTTGGGAGTGGCAGCACGCAGGATGCACCCACCCCTTCCTTGCGCAGGAGAGCCCCGTCGGTTGCGGGAGGCTCCAGATCCGAGCAAAGGGCCTCCTGCCCCACCACCTTCCCTCCTTACCCTAACCCTAGTGAAGTGAGGTCTTCAGGCTCTCCCCCGCCCACCCCCTGGCCTAAGTCTCCCTGCCAAGCTGCAGGGAGAGGTTCTTGAAGCCTCCACAGCCTGGTTTGCGTGCTTAACCCCCCCCTTCTTTTCATCTCCTTCCCGAAAACAGATTACTTATTCATGCGCTGCTCATACTCGGCAAGCCCAGGCCGTTGCTGGTTTTTAGCTGTTGTGGCCTTAGCTGGGAGACCCTGTTACGGGCCAGTGGCCAAAGAGGGAGGGAGACCTTGGCCTTAAGTGGCTAAAAGCAAGCAAGGCCAGGCGGCTCCACAGTTAGGATGAAGAACCAGGACTTTTGGGGAAGCATCAGGCCCTCTCTCGTGTGTAGGTGTAAGCAAGCATCAGCAGCAGTGCATGCGCTCCCTCGGCTTGTTTTGCCCTGGGGAAACGTGGGTTAATTAGCAGGTATTAATGGGTTTTCTTTTCCTAACGGGGCTTTTTGGACAAAGTTCCCTCATGATCTTCTCTGACTCACTTGCAAACCTCAAAAGTCATCAGAGCTCCTCTTTAAAAAAAAAAAATCACAGCTAAGTGCAAAAAAAGAAAGCTCTCAAAATTATAACCTGGAAGTTTATGTGTAGTTTGAGAAACTGGATAAAGATTCAAAAATAAGGGGTTGGAGGCTTGCAGAAAAGGAGCCCCAGAGACCAGGATGTTAGGGAAACAAACTTTTTGCAAGTACTTTAACAGAAATTACTGCACCAACGTGTATTCTCCTGAGAAACTCTTAACCAGCCCCTCTCCCTCAAAATGCACAACCTTCTTCTAAACCCTAATCTTGCTTAAACAGGAGCACTTTGATTGAACTCTGCTCAGGTTTCACGACCACCT